CTCGTGCAGTACTCGGCGGCAACTGGCATCCTTGTGTAAGGCTTTGATGAGTCTGATGATCTTTTGCGAAACGTCCTTATAAGCAAGCGCATTCCATATGACAGTGTGATATAATGTATCAAAGACCTTTTCGAAGTCTATAAATAATAAATAGACTAAAAAAATTGTCGATTTCTGTCGCATTCAAGTTAGTTAGTTACCTAGTATTAGAATATTTATTATTGGCCTGATTTGTATTGTCTTAGCACAAGTTGTTCCATTTTCCCATCTTATAGATTTACAGAAAGTGATTGGTATGTAAATGCATAGAGAAAGGTTTGCGTGGTAGCTTAATTCCTATATAGTTGCCGTGATTGTCATTCCCTCCTGGTATCTAGATGACATATACATTATTGTGTCTGATAATTTCGTTTAAAGTTTTATTACAGATTTCGGTAGGTTTAGTAGGTTAAGAATACTTCAAAAAAAAAATAATTTATATAAAAATATGTTGTCGGTTACATTAATTTATTATACATATATGCAACTACATCAGTTCTTGGAATAGAATTTGTAGGGGATAACGCAAAGTCAAGTTGATGGTACATAATTTTAGAAAATTTATTTAATTTAATTCGTTTTTAATTTTATTTTTTTATGATTTAATCGCTATTCGCTCATATCAACTTATACTCAATTAATTCATCATTATCAATTTTTGACGATGCTTGCCTTATCAACGTCTTTAATAAACTCAGCCCAGAATAACTTATATTTGTGGTAATAAAATATAAAAAGGCAAAGAAGAAAGGCTGGAAGACTGAAAGACTGAAAGACTGAAAGAGGTGAAATTACGTAGAGAAAAAGGAAATCAAATAAAATAAAAAATAAAGCAAAGTTTAATGAAATGAGATATATAAAAAATTAAAAATGTATAAATGCTTAACATTACGTTGATTGGTTTTGATTAACACCGTTCGGTGCGATCTGAGCTGTAGATCGGTCCGGCTGAGAGCTGTATGAGAACGGCTTTCAGCGTATCTGAAGACAAGTATAGAGTGAAGAGATACACGTAGTCATGAGCCGAAGATGAATTGTAGATACACGCATATAAATGCTCTTGAAGTATGTATTTCATTGCGCTGACCACAAGCAAAAGCAAAAGCAAGGCAATCAAATTTTTATTATTTCAACAGAAATTTCTGTATATTTATTCATTTTTTCAGAAAATTTATTTACTATGAAATTCAATATTTTATTTATTTATTTGTCTTGGCTTGGCTTGGCTTGGCTTGGCTCGGTTTAGTTTAGTTTGATTCAATACAGTTTAGCTTGCGTTCTTTCGAAATTTTGCTTTCTTAGCTGTAATTTTATTGTTGCATGGTCCCCTCGTGCTGGAGAAGAGCGCGATAAGTATCAATTTTTAACATTTATATTAGTAGCATTCATTTGCCTTTAATTTACGTATTTAAATTTTAATTGATTTGGTGTAGTTATTATACAATATATATACATACGTCTCTATATATGCATGTGTGTGCAGATATTTCGGCTGAGCATCGTTATAAAAATGGTTAACAGCTGAGTAATTCTGCAGAAACAAGCCAGTGAACTATCACTCAGCTTCCCTTCAACACTAGCCTTTTATGTACTGAGCTAATCTTGATTGTGCCTAAATTAATTTACAATTATTGTAAATTGATTTCCAAGCACCACATCTGCGGCACCTTTGTACGTTTCCACTTTACTGTAGAATTATTGTTATTATAAGAATAGATTTTATAACTTTACGTCGGTATTTTATCTAATTATAAAAATATATTTAACATCTTTTGTACTAATTTAGTGCAGACTTTGGCTATTGAACCCTATGATTGAAAGGTTGTTGCGCTCATTTGAATGAACAAAGCTGGATATTGCGGCTATATGGCTTTCGAAATATGTACTGATAATGTTTGTATATTAGAAAAACCCGAAATATGTTAAGTTTATACTTTAGTATGAATATTAAATCAGAAAATTTTGATTATGTACATTTATATGTAATGCCAAGTCATCTAGGCATATCAAAATATGGAGTTCCATGTAATTCGTAATAATAAAAGTAATTTACGTGATTACCTGCCTTGATGGCTCAACACTACGGTGTTCAAAAATACACTTGTTAATACAATGCGTCAATTAACGCCCCGGTGAAACCACGAAAAATTTTACTGGGTCTAACGAAGTTGACTTCATATTCAGGACATTGCCTCCTTCTTGGTAGGGAACGAAGCCCATCTATAACCTCTGCTGATCTTTGGGTTACAGCACCCGGTGATGAATGTATACAAATCATTGTTCCCGCTTAAGTATGGGTATTAACTATAGCCACCACGACACTACCAACCTCAGTTTGTCAGAGCAGCTGAAGCTATGGGCACGTCTCACAAGTGGGGAGACGTACTTACTACCATGCACACTTCCTGATAGTGTCGACATAACGCCGGGATCTTAGTCATCTCTTACGACAGGCATGCCTGACCTCGGGAATATTCTAACACCGTACCCACAGGAAAAAAAAGTGCAATCGTGACTAAAAGGGTTGTTAGATAAATCAAATCCTGCCATATAGTTCGAATTATAGTTGCACAAAGACGAGAATATAAAACGGCCGTTTACTTATTAGCAATTGGCTCAATAAACGCCATTGATAATCTTGTTAGAGAGTATCTCATTATAAATTATACTGATAGTCTGTGCTACCAGTATGCATGATTCGCAAGCGAAACCTACTCATTGGCTTGATTTACGGCTACGCACAAGACCCCGTGCATCCCTCCGTAATAACATTTAAGCATACTCCACGGTTCCTTTTGTATCTGGACACGCTGGGCACGTGTCGTCTTCGTTGTGTTTAAGTTAAGCTAAGTTATAACATATTTATAAGTTTAACAGATGATCATTGTGTGCACAAAGAAGTTTATAGGATAAGATCCAATATATGGGCACAATTCCTAGCATTAAGTGACCGATTTTGATAAGAACAGCAATTTTACGAAATTTTTTTTAGAGATACTGGACTTAAGAGTTTGAAATTGCGATTGGGTCTTATTAAGTTCTGATCCTAGTGTGTTTTAATGCCTTTGAAAAAATATTTAAATTGCCGAATTGTTTTTAGTTGCCGATCGTAGAATGGATCAAGCGGTTTATGTGGATATCTTTCTGCAAACTAATTTTTGATTTGGAAATTTTGATAATTTTTAATATTGTTTGCGACAATTTTTTCATTTTATGATTACTCCAATATATACGTATAGTATAGAAATGTGATCTCAAACGATATAAGAAAACGATATACGATATAAGAAAACGAAGGCAAAAAATTTTTATATGGAAGATAATTAATTGTTTAAAAAAATCCGTACATTGCGACTAGTTAGAAAATAGATATTTTTATATATATGTAGAACTACATTTTAAAATAATATTTTTATGGTATTTTTCTGGTAAAGTGTCTCAATGTTTGTTCCACATTGTTTAAATGAATCTACTACGAATATCACTTCGGAATAATGAATATCGATTGAAGGAACTGATTCATTGAAGAAGTAATATAAGAGAAAATGTATATTGTTTCGTTAATTAAAAAATGAATGTAAGCAATATTTGATAGCAAAGGTACTTCTTCACCCTTTTGTACACGCACACCATTGGAACGCCGTTCAGAGACAATTGCACGGTTTTCGGCAAACTGCATTCGAGCACTACACAAAGCACAATCACTGCTGGAGAATAAGTTCGAATTCGTTTATAAAAAGGCCTATGCATGGTTCAATCTGTACGGACTTGTGGATAGGCAGGAGCAAATACGTGTGCATGTGTGCAAATCTGTGAGATGCATAAAGTGCGTAAACTCATGTATTGGTGCATTTTTGTTAATGTGCAAAGTTAAAAATTTGCACTTTGGAAAATGCTACATTTTGAGCCGACGAAGCGTAAATTAGGATTTCAAAATGACATTTGGAATATTTACGACTTGGTCGAATGTGCATGGACCTGATGCATTTTGGACATGAGTTGACGTTGTTATTCATGGCAATTGTTTATGCACATAGCATGTGGGTGGCATAAATGCGAGTATAGTTCAGGCTGTGTGGATGGGGGCGCACTTAAACCAAACCAAGTCAACCTTTCACTGGTCTACGGTAAATAAAGTGCGTACAAGGGACTTCATGTTAAATTATGCAATTTTCAATTGATGAAAACTTTTCAAAATTACAAGTTTTTACTTTGACAAAACTGTTTATATAAGCACAATCACAATCGCACTCACACACACACACACACACACACTCATACAAAGCAAAAAATTGGGTATGTGTGAACGTATGTGAATGAAATGTTTCTGTGAAATTGCTTTGCATGCGACTGATTTGTTTTGAAATATTAATGTAGGTGCTCTAATGCGTTCTATGCAATATCAGAACTGATCCATTTAGTCCCTTAAAAGTTTTATTAAAAGGTTTCTGTTGGTATTTTTTTTCTTTTTTTTATTTTTTTTTGTTGTGGGTCGTTTTGTTTATCGAGCTTACATGCAAAATATTTAGTTTGTATCTTTTTTTTCTTCTTTCGATACATGCAAAACCACTCACGTATATTAGTAATCAATCTTTTTTCTACCGAAAAGTCACACTTATAGAATAATATACAAAAAAAAAAAAATTAAAGCAATTTTTTTATGAATCGATAAAAAATTTCCTGTGTGTCCCACACGTATTTATTTCTGTAAAAAAAGAGAAAACCTGCCAAATATTCCATTTTCCTTTAAATAAATAAACATCATCAATGTCAAATCGAAATCATTCATTCATTCATATGCAATTTTTTTTCTATTTTAAACTAAATTGTGAACCAATTCGCATAACGACTTATCAAAATAAATAAAAAGTGCAAAAAAATAATGAAATTACGGTAGTAAATACTTGTGTTATAAAAACTGTCACATACTCATTCATATATTGACGTTTCCACTTTTACAGATACTTCTTCCGCAAATTATCTGAGCGGAAAGCAACGCAACATATCGCAACGCAACGTAACGTAACGAAACAGAATATTTCGCTTGGCTCTGAAAATTTGCAAAGTACGTGCTATATGAGTTGATATGAGACATGGTTTCGGGGGTACACTGACATTATCATCTCCAAAGTATGTATCAACATTAAAATCACCGGGGATGGCTCTTTATATGAGGATAGGTTGGCACATGTCCTTATGAATGATGCGTTAATGTGACAAGAGCACAGTGGGTGAATTAGGTGTGATAGTAGTAGGTAGGATATCCATTCCCGAAGACATTGTTCTTACAACTGTAATAATTGTAGCAAATTCTTAATATAATTTCATGCGAATATATATAAATATAATAATAAAAACATTTAATTATTAAATAATTAATAATAACAAATAATATAATTAATTAATAACAAATCATCATTGAAAAAATATTTGCTTCGGTTATATTAATTTATGTTAGATCGTGATCCTGATAATGACTCTCAAGGAAAGTCAAAATATAGTATGTACTAAAAATTGTTAAACAAACGTATATTATAAAAAGACAAGCCGGATAAAAAAAAAATATATAAAAACCATATTTGCTTTCATTTTAAACAGCTGGTTTTGTTTGGAAATATATACAGCAGTACCAATATATCAGACAAGACCATGTAAACACTAAAATCAATTTTCTATCTAGGTCTAATTTTTATAAAGTTAAGGATGGTTTTCTGTTCTGATCTAATCATGTAGTGTACTTTGAGGTCAGCGTATTTTGTTACTAAAGTTATAATTCATACGCTTACTTAGTTCTAGCTAATACACTCAAAGTGATATATAAAAATTTTATTTATTATTAAAACAACAATAATTTATTATTTCAATGACCAAATATTTTTCAGAGTAATTTTGTTTTTTAATATTTTGAACTGACATACAACACTGTGCACGAGTGTATAAGAACATCTTCAACAAATCCGGAAAAGGATGAATATATTATTCCTCAATATATGTATTTTATATTTATTGTCAAAGTACATATTGAATAATAAATAGATCCTCGAAACTCATCAAAAAAAACCGTGTGCACACTGCAAGGTTTACTGCAGTTCTTTCTGGTCATTGATGTATAGGTACCCACGCAGAGAAACTGCGCATTCCCCATAATCCTCACTGCAGAAGTTTCCTCACTGGAAATCGGAAGGAAAAAGAAACCATAATACATTTTCTCTGTGAATGTTCGGCTTTGGCGTCCAGTAGATGTAAATTCTAAGGAAGATATTTCTTTGTCAGTTTGTCTGACTGTTTACCGGTAAAAACGAAAGACCTATTAAATTATCTAAATTCGACGGGATGGATTTAGTCTCTTAAAATATCTCTAAAAGTCTCTTTAGTCCGTTAAATAACAAAATTATTTTTAAAATTAAAATAAATAATAATAATTATTATTATAACTATAATAAATTATACTAATTATAATAAATTATAATAACTATTTCTATAATTATAATTATATAAAGAATTATTATTATTATATAAACTATTAATTTATTAAAAAAATTAAATAATAGTAATAATTATAGTAATTATATTATACAGACTATAACAACATTATATAATAAGTATAATAATTATATTATAAAAATTAATGAGTATAAAATATTATTATAATAAGATATAACAATTTATTAGTATAATTGATTCTAAAAGTTGTTAATAATTATGGTAAAATAAAAAATAATAATATAATAATTATTAATATTGTAATATAATATATTATTGTAATTATAATTATTATTATAATTATAGTTATAATTATAATGAATAATTATTAATACTATAATTATCATGAATTATAATAATTATTACTATTGTTGTAATTTTTTTCTAATAATTATTATTATAATTATAATTAAATACAATAATTATTATTATAGTTATAACTAAGATGACAATTCATATGCTTACTTGGTTTGATCTAATACTGTTAAGATTTCAAATGTACGTAAGTAAGATATGTAATTTTTATTTATAAGTATATATGTTTATCCTAGGCTTATTGTTACAGATTTTCATACTATATTTAGGTACATAATTGACTAATTTTTAGTAAGAAACTTTGCTAATGAAAACTTTGCATTTTTAAGGTAACCTATACTATAAATGCTAGTTTAATATATTTGCTAGTATCTTAATTAAACATAGTTTATTTATATTTATTATATTGTCAAATGTATAAGTGTACCTTTCTTTTTTTAATAGTTTATGTATGGAATAGTATTAAAGTAAATAAATCAGATCTAATATATCCACGCTAAACAAATTTGTTGCATTCACTCTATCAATTTCAGTATTTGACTGAGGTAATATACCCCCAATTGAAAATAATGTAAAACTATACAAAACGCATGAAATCAAGTGTTTCCCCAGGGTTGCATAAATTATAGCTTTGTGTCAAAATGGAAAATCTTTGCATACAAAGGAATCCCCCAACAAAAACTGAAGTAAAAACGAACCGAACACAGTGGAGAGACATCGAGTTACACGCGATAAGTCGAGAAAAACGAAAAATACTACTTGAGAAAAAATTGAACCAAACACGGAGAGTATAAAAAAAAGATACAAAATAAAAATAAGAATGAAATAAATAAAATAAAAAACAAAATATATATTTAAAGTAAAAACTTAAAAAAGAGAAAAAAATCTTGAACAAAAAATCGCTGTGGGAGAAGCACACAGGATATGCCAACGTGTAATGGCATATCCTTGAGAAAACATGAAATATCTTTACTATATTTTTCCCCAATGATATGACTTGTGGGGAATACATAATATTTTTGGCTTTCTTTAGGATTTTTTTAAAAACGCCACTTTTCTTATAAATTAAATAAAAAACGAAGTGAAATTGTCAAAAGAATAAACCCATCGTTTTTCAATGGAGTGAAGCAAATGTACATTGACACGCGGCGTGGTACATTATTTAGAAATCATAAAAAATCGTCTGTGGAAAACAGATGAAAAAACTCATTGAATAGGAAAATTGTGATTGATCGCTAAGCAAGCGCATATTACACTGAGCACACAGCTTCCACCAGCGCGGCTACGTAAACAAACGGAAATACAATACCGCACAGAAAACGATATAATTGAAATACTTCCAGGACCCTCCATGAAAATATATGTGTACTTAAACAGTTGAACTGCGAACGACTGTACTGGGGAACGGCGTTAAAGAGGCATATTGATATGGTGCGGTTACTTCGGTTGTACTTGGATTGCAGCAACAAATACACAAATACATATGTTGGCGTTATCAGAAAAACTGGAACATTAATGGCAAGGATAACTAGGATATGTTTTCATTGACATAATGCTGTTACTATGGGAGGTTATTTTTTTTTTTTTAGCAAAATATTGCAGAATTTTTGAGCAGTCAATAAAATATTTTTGAAGTTTTGGTTTTGAAATTTAATATCAAAAGCAGAATGACATCCAGGGGAAGCGTAAATGACTGGCAAAAAGTGGGTTATTGAGGTTTTTTTATGTGATTACTAGTTTGCATTAAATTTGATTGATTTTGATTGATAGTTAGCGTAGAAAGGGTTAAAAATGGTTATACTTGGGTGTATAACTTTGTATATTAATTTTGTCAGTGTGTTTGCGATACAATACTGATACGTACACAACTCTAACATAACTTGTTATATTATATTATGTTTGTGGACAGAAGCTATCTGATATATTTTCCAACTACTTTCAAGTGGAGGAAATGAAAAGGTAGTTATAATAAGTTAACATCTTATATTAAGTTCAAATAGGCCAAATAGTGCTTAATGGAAGAACGGCAGGAGACATAGAAGGCAACGTCACATATATAAGTAGTAATGGTTCTGCGGTAAATGATTTATGCACAGTTTCACAAGAAATGCTGACATATGTAGAAACCTTTACGGTAGAAGAAAGAGAATGGTCCGATCATATGCCTTTGGTGATAAGTTTAAAATTGCAATGTGAAATACAACAAAACACGGAACGAAAACTGCTTCCGACCCTCAAATGGAAAGATGCAAATAGGGTTCAATATAGCAAAAAACTTAAGGAAAATATAAGGACAAAGCTGCAAAATAAAACACATCTAGACTTATCAGATTTAACTGATGTTATACTAAAATCTACTCCCAAAATACGAAAATGTAAGGGATTCTATACCAAAAAATCAAAATGGTATAACTTCCGATGCTTTGTCGCGAAGAAAAAAGCTAAACACTTGTTGAGAAAATATAGAAGAACAGAGAGCAGCGCTACTAGAGCAAATTACTTAGAAGCAAATAAGAAATATAAAGATGTATGTCTGAAAAGTAAAGCTGAATATTATAGAAATCTAGAGACACGTATAAACACAATTAAAAATGGCAAAGAATGGTGGAAGCTAGTTAAAGAGCTAAGAAATAGGCCTTTAATAAATGAGGTACGAATTGCACCAAATGAGTTTAAGACACACTTTGAAAATCTTCTTAATCACACGCAAACGGCGAAAGATGTGCATTATGCTCCAAACTTTATAGAAATAGACGAGCTCGACAAACCTATAATGGTGGGTGAGATATTGCAGGTCTTGAAAAAAGCGAAAGACGGAAAAGCACCAGGTTTAGATAGAATCCCTTACGAATTTTACAAAAATGCAAATACGGAATTTTTAGAGCAACTCGCGAAGGCATACAACCAGATGTACGACTCAGGAAGGGCAGATTCAAGTTCTGAACCGAGTATAATATTTCCAATACACAAGAAGGGAGATAGTTCAGTTATAACCAATTATAGGGGTGTGGCATTTATGAACACAAAAGCAAAAATATTGATGGGTGTGCTCAATGAAAGATTATCCAGTTGGGTTGAAAACAATAACATCATGTCTGAATACCAAGCAGGATTTCGTAAAAACTATTCCACGGTTGACAACCTATACAATCTAACATCCATCGTAAAGTTGAAATTTAATGAAAAAAAGAAAGTATACGCTGTGTTTATAGATCTAAAGGCGGCTTTTGATAAAATCGCTAGAAAATTACTTATGTACAAACTGAGGAGCATAGGCGTTTCAAGCAAATTTGTAGATTTTATTGAGCAGATTTACGAGACGACAAATTCGGTAGTTTGGAACGGAAGCGAAGTATCTGACAGTTTTAGCACAATTTCTGGTGTCAAACAAGGTTGTTTGCTTTCCCCCCTTCTGTTTGCGTTATATCTCAACGACTTACACGATTATTTGGACGGTGGTTTGCAGGTGGAAGAACTGAATATAAGGCTGTTGTTATATGCAGATGATATAGTCATCTTGTCCGATGATGCAGAAACGCTACAGAAAATGATATGGAATCTTGAAACATACTGCGACAGTTGGAATTTAGAGGTAAATTTAGCCAAATCGGCAGTCATGGTGTTTAGAAAAGGCGGTAGGCTGTCTAGTAGAGAAAGGTGGACATACAAAGGGGAAGTGCTTAAAATAGTCGCTGAATATACATATTTAGGGGTAACGCTCACGCCAAAAATGATATTTAAAAAACACCTGGAAAACAGGAATATATCTGCAAAATCAAGCATAAATGCCACTTGGAGTACGTATTTAAATAACGATAAAATTTCAATCAGGGCAAAGTGGCAAATGTTCAATGCTATTTGTAGAGCCACACAAGGCTATGCGGCGCAAATTTGGGGGAGTGACATGTTTAGCGAAATAGACAAATTACAATGCTACTTCTTCAAAAGAATTTACAGGCTTCCCAATTTCACTCCAACCTACGCCATAATGCTGGAATCAAATATGGAAAGCGGGCATTTGTACACAATGGACTTGCATTTAAGATACGTCTACAAGACTTTGTTTGAATATAATGAAAGGAGATTGGCAAGAATATTGTCACAAAAAGTTCTGCAAAAAAATGTATTTTGGGCAGAGAGACTAAACGTTTTGGGAAATGAGTCAAGCCTAGTTTGGAATGATGAAACAACAAGCCAAGAATGGAAGAACAATAATTTCGTATTATTAAATCACTTAAAAGTGGAAAACAGAGTAAAAATGTGGCGAAAAGCATTGAGAAGTGAAAGCAGAATTTATAAGTACCTAGACCATAACTTGGGGGCTCAATATTTTACAGAAAGCTTCAGTCGTGCGCACATAATGTGGATTTTTAAGGCGAGATGCGACTTAATTCATTTAGATGGCAAATACAATAGAAACTGTACACTGTGCAATCTCAATGAAACGGAAAGCATACAGCACTTCTTAGGCCGCTGTCCTATATTAAGGCCGTTTAGACGAATTTGTTTTGAGAGAGAAACGTTAGTGGAAGAGGAAGTAATCAATGTGCTTAATGGGGAAAATGATCCTAACTGGAAAAAATTGATTAACTATATTACTAGTGCTTTAAAATACAGAAAACTAATTATAAATGAATTTAATACTTCTTAATTAATATTTAAAAGCATATACAATTAATTTAAATTCTGTATAATTCCTTTTTTGTATTGTAAATATAAATTAAGTTTTTAAATTTAAATTTTGTAAATTCTTAATTTTAATTTTGTAATTTTAATTTTGTAAATTTTAAATTTTAATTTTCTAAACGTTATGCAAGAAAGTAAATTTATTTTAAACCAACATCTCCGACAGACGACTATAAGTCATTGTCGTATTCTTTGTTTGTTCATTTCAATATTTTTAAGTAACTATAATGTTTTT